TATGGTCCTGCAGTGGGGTCTCCTTGTCCTTGGATCTGTGTTTTGATCCGTCTTTTCTTAAAATTTTCCATTTGTGTCACTTAGAATCACCTTTTAAAATGTTAATCGACACCACTGGTCCTAGTTAAATTTAGCCATGGCACGACTACTCGAACGTAACAGTTAAATAGGTGTGACATACTATTATATTCTTATAATTATATCATATGAATTGATTGCACTGCTAATAAATAAAATACTTTGTTTTACTAAAATACTTTGTTTTACTAAATGACTTTCATTTTTGGAATGTTTCGAAAGAAGTTTTAACAAGAATTGAAGGTACCAATTATGTCAGTAATAAGAAAAAACACAATAATTATCTTTGGTTTCATCCTTATGTAGCAAATCTTTACTCCACTGGAAAGTATGAATAAATGTTTAATGTTGTTGTTATTCATGATTAATATTTGATAAATTATTACCTTTAAATTTGATGGAGAAATAGTTACTGTATATTTTTCCATGTAGTGCGATGATACTTTGTAGACATTGGTGATGATTTTATGTCATAATTTTTTCCCGATCCATGACTCAAAGTGCCGAAGGCACAAAAGAGTCAAGGACAAGGGTTAGCGAACAAGGTTTTTTTTGTATCAGAATAAAACAAATATTCAGAATAAAACAAATATTATATTCAAATCTCTTTATTCAACAATATTAAATCATTATGGGGACCTAATTTGTGGCGTGATCGTTATGTTAGGGCTATTCTGTTAGCTGATGCTGACAGGCACCGCATGGGGCAGAGACTTAGGACCATTACGCTGAAGGCTTACAATGACCCTTTTTGAACCCCATGGCAGTGCTAGTTTTATTATGGTACAAATTGTAAATCGAAGTTATGAAAACGATCAGGTCACTCCTGTTTTACACTATCAACAGCTACTTAAAACAACCTAGATTGTACAACTCACTTTGAAGATTAAACTGTTAAGTGATGAGTGATTTTTTTTTTTTTTTTTTAGAGAGGCTGGGCCTGGTTGGCCCACGAGAGGATAGCATATGAATGCTTTGCCTACCTCTGGGGTATGGCAGTCCTGTGGGAGGATGCCAGTGGAATCAAGATGTGTAATCAAGGATGATGGTAAGTGTTGTGGGGTGTGTCATAGATAAACGCTTAAGTGGTGGTTGAGTGTGGAAGATAGAGGCGAAATAAGACGGTGATGAGTGATAGGGCTCATTAAGGGGGCCGGGGGGGTCTTCATCAAAATTCTCTCGAAATTGACTTTGTAGTTGTTTCTGATGGAGGGGATTGATGTCTATCAGCTGTTTTTGGTCCCATGGAAAAATATTGTTCCTAGCCGAAATTATTGCCGGTCAAAGGTCAGCGCTTATGTGTAATTGTATTGCGCGAGCAATTTTCAATCGCGCGCCCTGAAAATCGAGTCTAAAAATCTATCTTCTCCTACATTTTTTGAGCAATCACTCTGAAACTTTCAGGATATGTTCTAAGGACCATTTAGAAGAGATTGTCGGGCCAGAATTTTGAGATAGGCCTTAGACATTTTTTTATTCGATTTTGAAAATCTTGGACCTGAAAAAATCGTCAAAATACGAGGTCCAAGATTTTCAAAATCGAATAAAAAATGTTCTAAGGCCTATCTCAAAATTCTGGCCCGACAATCTCTTCTAAATGGTCCTTAGAACATATCCTGAAAGTTTCAGGGTGATTGCTCAAAAAATGTAGGAGAAGATAGATTTTTAGACTCGATTTTCAGGGCGCGCGATTGAAAATCGCTCGCGCAATACAATTACACATAAGCGCTGACCTTTGACCGGCAATAATTTCGGCTAGGAACAGTATTTTTCCATGGGACTAAAAACAGCTGATAGATATCACTCCCCTTCATCAGAAACAACTACAAAACTTCAATTTCGAGAGAATTTTGATGAAGACCCCCCCCCCGGCCCCCTTAAACATTTTAGTAGCAGAGACATGCAGATCAGCTTCTTTAGGTTCTAATAGTTCATTCAAACAAGAAATTTTACTTTTTCAAATTTAGTCGTTCAAGCTGCCTGAGTTCAGAAAGTTTGCCAAAGGGGCCCAGGTATTCTTGTCACCTTTACCCTGGGACGAGAGAAAAACTTTTTTACCTTTGATTTGAATACACCATGAGTGATTTCAAGGTCGTTCAGTGCCAACATCTGACGGAATGAATTCCAAAGGCAACTAGATTGGTAAACAAAACTGTTTGAGGGCATGGTTGTTATAAGAAGAGTTTCTTTGCCGGGTCTTTTAGACAAACAGAAAAGTTCAAATAGTGCAATTGGTGTTCAATATTTAAAGACTTTAAAAAGTTCATTGCAGCAGTGATACGCGTATAAATTATGCAATGTCATGAGTGATTGACGGGCATAAATTGGCTTGGTGTGCTCTCTCTCAAAGAATTTGCTCGTAAGTTTCTGTTCACTGATAGGTCTAGTTCTAGCACATATCATAACCCCAGTGACATAAAGTGATGAATCTAAGAATCTAATTCCTAGCCATATTAATTTCCATAGCCACGCCGACTAATTTTTGTCAACAAAATTATTAAATCAACTTTAAAATAGTCGCTCTCGGTTGTTACACACTGTAACGCCGCGCACTGTACTTTAATTCTATATTTATCCGAGAAGATGTTCAAATCGAGCGCAAATGCCAGATTCCTGCAGATTCCTAGTTCTTGCGCTTAACTTGCGCGTTACCAAATAATCCAAGATATTCCTGTCAGGATCCAAGATTTTCCTACTACCAGTATGGCCTGGTAGTATGGACTGTTTGGTAGTATGGTAGTATGGTAGTTGCAGGAACGCGCGAAGACCTATATGTAAATATTACATTAGCGTACATGGAATCGTGGCCTAGTTGGTAAATCCGTCGGTACTATATTGGCAGATCGCGAGTTCGAGACCCGGAAAGGAAATCTTTCACAATCTTTTGGCAATTATGAATAACTATACTAATGAATTAATAACTATACTAATGAATAACTAAACCTCTGTAATATAACTAGCAAAGTAAAATGAAATCGTTATCCGGCCGCGGAGCGGCCGAAAAATTTATGGTAGTCGTTTTAAAAATATATGGTAGCCGTTTTTTCTTTCCAGACTGGATTCCTAGTCCCTTTTTAAATTTATGTCACTGGGGTCATAACTTTATCAAGGTATGCTTTTTTGTCACCAAACATGATACGAACACACTTTTTCTGGGCTACAAATAGTGGTTGAAGTTTATTATTACTTGCACCTCCCCAAACGGTAATACCATAAGATAGGTGACTTTCAAACAGTGTGTGGTACAGGTCCTTATGGATTGATGATGGAATTTTATCCTTAATCATGTACAGCCTCCCAGAACAGGACGAGAGTTTTCTAACTAGTTTGTCTCTATAGGGATTGAAAGTTAGGCCTTTGTCGACAATTACTCCCAGGAATTTCGTTTCCTGCACCTTTGAGAGAGGTAGGCCGTTGAGGTAAAGTCTATTTTCGATTAAAAAAGATTGCTCATCAAGATTTCTTTTAGCTGTATTGAATTCTATATAGCAACTTTTCTTGGTGTGTATATGGTAGCTTGCGACCGTGCGTACGTGCCCTCGCCCCCAGTTATCGCCGTGCCCACGTTTCTACCTGCGCAAAGTTATTTTGCGCGATGTAGTTTGTGCGTAATGCGTATTCCTTACGGTCTGCTCTCTAAGATCAGCCTGCTTATCCCTTTTACCGTGCTTAAATTCTAGTTTCTATAGATAAAATTCAAGAGCATGTTTACCAATCTTAATCTGCTTAACTACTCAGAATGATAGGAAACTTAATTGAGGGTTAAATGAGAGGTATGTACCTGTTAAAAGTTCAAGAAACTTCCTAGGATACCCCTTCAGAGCATACTGTAAACATAGTACTATTAACTATTAACTATTAACTATTAACTATTAACTATTAACTAATATTAACTATTAACTATTAAGGGGGCCGCGCCGGGGGGGGGGTTGGTCTTCATCAAAATTCTCTCGAAATTGACTTTATAGTTGTTTCTGATAGAGGGGAGTGATATCTATCAGCTGTTTTTGGTCCCATGGAAAAATATTGTTCTTAGCCGAAATTATTGCCGGTCAAAGGTCAGCGCTTATGTGTAATTGTATTGCGCGAGCAATTTTGAATCGCGCGCCCTGAAAATCGAGTCTAAAAATCTATCTTCTCCTACATTGTTTTAGCAATCACCCTGAAACTTTCAAGATATGTTCTAAGGACCATTTAGAAGAAATTGTCGGGCCAGAATTTTGAGATAGGCCTTAGAACATTTTTTATTCGATTTTGAAAATCTTGGACCTGAAAAAATCGTCAAAATCGAATAAAAAATGTTCTAAGGCCTATCTCAAAATTCTGGCCTGACAATCCCTTCTAAATGGTCCTTAGAACATATATATCCTGAAAGTTTCAGGGTGATTGCTCAAAAAATGTAGGAGAAGATAGATTTTTAGACTCGATTTTCAGGGCGCGCGATTCAAAATCGCTCGCGCAATACAATTACACATAAGCGCTGACCTTTGACCGGCAATAATTTCGGCTAAGAACAATATTTTTCCATGGGACCAAAAACAGCTGATAGATATCACTCCCCTCTATAATCAGAAACAACTATAAAGTCAATTTCGAGATAATTTTGATGAAGACCCCCCCCCCCGGCCCCCTTAACTATTAACTATTATTGCTTAACTACTCAGTAGTCTAAGTCACCATACATTCCTCAATAGTGGAACAATTTTTATGTCTAAATTCAGATAAAATTTAATTGCTATTAATTGAAATACAAATTTGTTGTTTTCTATAGAAATATTTGGGCATGCAAATGAATTACTACACAAAACGGTTTCTGTCAAGTGATATAGTTCAAATTAACAGCACATTCCCTCTATTACCAATACCCGCTTACTGTATATTTTTTCATTGTTAAATGTAGATTTGCACTAACAAATTCCTCTATTTTAGCTCAATAATAGTTCAGTAATTGGACAACAGCTCCTGTCAGTGAGACAACACAAAATCCCCTGCGATCCGGATTGGGTGAGTTCAATTCTTATTTAAGAATATAATTATCATTTCAATTCTGTTTGGTCACGCAAATTCTATGACAATTGCAGTATGGAAAAATGTTTTTCATTTCTTTCAACTTGAGGTTTCAAACTGAAATATCAATGAAACTATTATAAGTACGTTTTAGGCCTAAGGGCAATTAATTCAAATTAGGAATAATTCCATGCTGGCATATTTCTTCACTCGGATGTATTCTCATTCTGTAATACTGGAGTTTTATCTCAAAAACCCACTAAAATGGATAATTTTAGATAATAATTATCGCCAATAATATTAATATAATATATCAAATTAATGATAATTTAATATATTAGGTCTTGATGCCAATCATTTTTCAAAGCTCTATAATTATAATAATCGTTTCATAATATAGTTTTATTGCCTGAGGTATTTCTAGGCCAATGCTAATTCTGAGTGTTTTGGTCAATCATTCTATCATCCAGCATTGCCGTCAGTGCAGGCAAAACTTGCTCTGCCTCATAGTCCCTGCCTAAATAAAAACGTGATTTAACCTCTTATTAAAATGAATAAACGGATACTAAATACGATTGTTTTCTCTAACCAATCTAGCGCAAGCTATGCCCTAAAATTACAATTTACAACTAAATAACTCTCAGTCTTTAACAAAACAGTCTTTATCCACCATCTATCCACGTAATGATCATTAAAAAGCTATTTGACTGGTTACTGTGTTTGGAATAAAACGTGCTATTTAAAAAAATGTTCTACAGAAGTCTAACAAATGATTGGTATAAGTCTACAGAAATTAGAACTATTATATCTTTAGAATAGTACATGCAACTTTATTTTTCAACTTTTGATCAAATGAGACTACTCCTAAAGACAAAGAGAAATTTGGATTTGGGGGAAAAAGTACAATGTCCACAATAAGCAGTAAGTATTAATGATTACACTCAGCCGACAGTAGGACGTTATGCTGGGCCTTAGACCCAGTTTTCCCAACACTAAATCAAATTTAAGTTCTGTAGAATATTTGGTGGCATTTAAGTCGGGACAGATTCTTATCTTTGCTTCCAGTCATGCATTAGCGAGGCTATATACATTTAAGACTTTTCAACACTAAATAAAATAATTCATTTGAGCAAACCATGGAGCTGAGGGACCAGGCTTTTTGTTGGACAGATATTGGTCAAGAAACAACTATGAACATTTCAAGATATAACTCCACTTTTGACCTATTTGACGGCCACTTATTATTTTCATTATTGCACCGGTTTTTTTCATGGAGTGCGATTACAAAACTAATTGCACTGTTTTGAGAGTAACCGAAAACATATTCGGTGCGATTACAAAACTAATCGCACTGATTTTCTGAAAGATACTGTGATATATTAATAGCTTTCAGAGGTGATTTAACGGGTGGTCTGAAAATCCACAGCAGGCAAGCAAAACGTTCAAACAATCATCACAACTGCAGATAATAGGGACGGGCCGATTCTTGGTCCATCCCGTCCTAGCGGCCAATCGCAATCGATGAGTTATGTCACGTGACTCAGATCCGACCAATCGCATAACAGGAGCAATTAGCATCGGACGGTTATCCTATGTTTACTTTTCTTATCTGTATTTGACCCTCCATTGAGGTGGTTATCAGACATTTTTGTGGAGTTACTAGATTGTACAAATCAACCGAGAGAGAGAGTCGGCGGATGACGTCACTTCGTTTCTCGGAAGAGGTTTCGGGTTGAAGTGGAGGGTTGAAGTGCGCTGTTCTTGCTCAGTACTCTCAAACAGTGCGATTAATTTATAATCTTACTGATTTTAGAGCAACTAACAACACAGTCCGTGCAATTATAAACTAATCGCACCTATTATATAATAATACCAGAAGCGTGTAGTTATACACGAATCTAACTGCATATGCAGTTATAATACGATTACACCAGTTATTGCACTCGGCTGTGCCTCGTGAAATAACTGCAATAATTGATCGCACTTTATCAAATCTGCATCATCATCTCGATACCTGATATTTCAGCTGCTCTAAATTATTAACTTTTATTTCTACTCAGCTTACTCCGTATTTGGCTGTGAGACTACTATGCACTAGTAAAATAAGCCTCTGTACTATTAGTATAATATTGCGTGCTTACAAGTGTCATTGTAAAATGTACATGAGAAGTGCGGTTTTTGAACAATAACATTGCCAACATCACGTCTGTCCCAGGAATAGGGATACTTTACAATTTACATTGTCCCTTCCCAACACTCATGATGCTTATTTCATCTGCCCCACGAAAACCCCACCGAACCTCCACGCGGTGTGGGGTGGGTGGCTCGAACGGGAGGTGCATGGGTGTTTCTAACCTATGCAAAGGAAGGGACTAGCCATCTCTACAACAAAGGAAAGGCTCTAATAGCCTCTACTAACCTTAGAACCGCAGCATAACCGCTTTTCCCACAGGCAAATAACACCTTCCGCAGGAAACTAACACGCTCACAGGCTCCCACATCTCGTGTAACCCCAGGGTTTGGTTTTAAATCGGACATTCAAAACAACGATAGAGGAGAGGTCTACACGCTCACAGGCTACCATGTCTCGTGTAAATCCAGGATTTGACACGCTCACAGGCTACCATGTCTCGTGTTAATCCAGGATTTGACACGTTCACAGGCTACCAAGCCACGTCTAGTGTAACCCCAGGATTTAAAAAGCTCACATGCACAGGCTACCACGTCTCGTGTAACCCTAGGACTCTTAACACTTAACAGACTCTAACACGCTCACAGGCTTCCGCGTCTCGTGTACCCTAGCATTTGGATTTGGATCGGACACTCAAAACAACGATAGAGGAGCGGTCTACACGCTCACAGGCTACCATGTCTCGTGTAACCCTAGGATTTGGTTTTGGATTGGCCACTCAAAAAAAAGGAAAGAGGAGCAGTCTACAGTGACGTTACAGGAACATTGCATACTCCTACGAGTTGCACGTTGCTGGCCATGACCTCCCCTGGAAGTCCCTGTCTCTCTGTCGTTAATCCGGCGGGGTTGCACCAGGGGCGGTGGTAACAGAACTTCAAGACTCTCGGAGTCTGTTGTTGATATCTATGTTCAATATATTTATGGTATATAATTTGGGAGTCTCTCTCTCCAGCAGCAGGAGTTGTGAAAGCCACCGTAAGGAAGGCTTACTGTCGACGCCGACCAATCAAAAGAAGCTTATTTCATCTACCACTGCACTGACCCCCTCTCCCAATGTACATCCAACAAAACATATCTTGTTCTAACTTGATAATTTATTTGTGTTTAGGTTAAAGAGGAAGTGACTTTACAGGTTTACTGAATACATACATGTTCTCATTAGGACACGTTAACGCTTTAAACATTTGTACTCTCACTAAAATGTGTAAAATGTGTAAAATGTTTGAAACATTACACGAGTGAGATATATCATATATTGAGTTTATTTGTATACCTTACTTCTATATTGCGACATATTTCTGCTCTACTTGGTAAAGTATTCCTATTAGCTAACAATGCCCCAGCATATCTCGTATCGCACATATATTAATTTGCGGGCTCTACTTTCAATCACAACGAATACAGCGAAATTCATTTTCTGCGAAATCTAAAATGGAGCCCATATAACATGCACTACAATCCGATTCTTCATAATATACTTTTCTTTCTATGAGAAATTTACAATAAAGGAATATGTCGCCCCATTTGAACAAAGAAGAAATATTTGGATATATTGTCATTTTTATATGACGGCTCTCTCATATTATGCCTTTTGGGGGCAAGGTTGCAGCACTTTGTACTACCAAATTGAGTATTATGAGTTATGAGAGTGAATATTAGAAATTGTTTGAATTACCTAACAGTTTAAATGGAGTAGTGATCTACACACATTTTAGTGAGTGAGTCTTCTGTGTTATCCGTTTTGTAAGTAAATACCCTCAATGCAAACAGTTGCGACACCGTAAATTGTGAACTGTTATTACCCAAATAATAACTTCCACTGCACTGCACTTGACAGAAAAATGATGGGTATTTGAACTCTCACCAACTTTTTTCTCGGGATCTTTATTGCCATTGCCAACTTATTACCGATCACATTCTATGTAGATACCATGATCTGTAGATACCATGGTACAATTTGAGAAGCTCCGATATCAAAAGTCGATCGGTTATAATTTTAATGACGTTTCAGATGGAGTGAAAAGTTGACGGCAGCAAACTGAAAAGGAAGAAATAATGATGGAGAATGATAACCGTAAGTTATTCTTTAAACTATGATAAATTATTGCATAAAGTAAGTAAATAAGTAGTTGCTTTTTTAATCTGTTAATATGTTAGATTACCAGTTGGTCAAATCAATAAACTTAGCTTCTTGTGGGGAAGTGAGCCACGTTCCTCTGACACGTGACACCCATTTACCAATCAGATCGATGCATTGACCACGTGTCTAGATAGATCTGGCTTACCTCCCCACTAGTAACAGAGTCGATTTGATTAGAAATATCTCGCTCAATGTTATTAATTTGTATGATTTGGCAGCGAAGTGGTAGGGTTACGACTGTTCTCATAACTTATCTAGCCAAATGTGAGCAGCACATAAATTATCCGTACTGCCCAATAGAATGAAGTGCTTAGAGTCAGGTACTGTTGTTGAGCCTTACCATTGAAACCACTAGGAAATGCCTTAATTTGGCATTCAGCCAAAACGTAACTAGCAGTAGTTTTGCTCATAATTTGCAAGGAGGATGTTAATGCAATCCTTATGCAATCCTAATGAGAGATGCTAAACCATCAATACATACTTTTAGTACCTAGTTGATTGAACAATCGGTGTACAGCATGTACTGGAAAGGCTGTAACTTTGCTTAGGCGACATAATAAATATTCATTAAGTATGATTGTGATACTGAAACGGAACGCGCGCAGCTTTCAGTGTTATGCTGGCGCAATCAAGTTCATTGCAATTTCCGAGTATATTTGCGCGCAATGCGCGCTTTTTGCAATTCGTTCGCATTATTTAGCTAGTCACGCTTAGTAAAACTGGGAAATCCAGAAACCTAATGCCATCCTAGCACATTAGAGATCATTCATAATTAACCAAGATTATGAAACGGGTTAAATGTGAAATTAAATCCCTTAATACTTCAGAACAAAACAACTGTGTCACTGGGAATCGCAATGAAGGTAAAGAGTGAAAATATTATCTTAGTTGTTACATTAGATCCTACTCTCACAGCAAGATATTGCACACGATAAGCTTCTTGACTTGAAAATTTCTTTGTCAAACATTCTCCATATAGTTATTGCTCACTACCTACTATATTTCAGCTGGATTCGGATCTGTCGAGAGCACGACATCCTCAAATTGTAAGTCGCACTGTGTTATCAGTACTGTTAGGGATCATTTATACTATTTATTTGCATTGATATCTTAGTTTATTAAATAACGAAATTTACAACAAAGAGATAAGGTTGCCGGAATGCAAGTTCTTCTGTTACCTAGTTCTATTTTCAGCTGACTCTGAGGCTATTTGTGGTGGTGAGTTTTTGTTATTTTTGTACTATTTTGTACAGCATGTTCATTATTCTCCGTGCGTGATACAAATGGGGATGAATGCCTATTTAGACCTAAACGGGTCTAAACAGCTATATTGTTACCCCTCCTAAACCGACACAAGAAGATGTTGTACAGAAGCCGGATAGGAAAGAGTTTTAAAAGTTATTGTTATGGTGGATTGATATGTATATAAAGTTATTGTCGTTCTCTGATGAGGTCATTGTGCTTAATTGACCCGCCAATTATCCTGTCTTGGAGATGGATGATCTCATACTGAACACGTATGTGAAGTTATTTGGTTCAGATGAAGTATTATACCCATTATACCATCTCAAAACCGTCAGTCTCTCAGTCGGTGAAGTATAATCATCAATTTTCTTTGTCGCGCCACATCTCATGTTATGTTTTAATAGAGCGGTCGTGCCGATAATGTTTCAGACTGTAAGTAATGTTTTAAGTTTAATGTTTTAAGTTTCATATGTCGTGCATTTCATTGGTAATTCAACAGTACAATGCTTTACATAAATCTGCTTGAGAAATGTAAGTGTTGTTGTGATGCACGCTTTTGAATCTCTGCCTTCTATTCACATCGTGTCTATCATCATGATAATCTCTTTATTCGACTCGCAGCTCTAAATTATTGACCATTGTTATTTCCCGACCTAATTCCATGACGCAACCCGATCTAATTCCATGACGCAACCATTCATCTTCCCCTTAATTGGGAACCTCCCTCAATATTGTGATATTCCCCCTATCTGGCCCCATTATATTGCGTAAATGTATTGACAACATAGAATTGTCCACTTGTTCCGCCCCCTTAGGTATAAAGGAAACGCCGTTTATTTAAACTATTGTGTTATCATGCTGCCTCTAGGTAGCAATGGTATTTTAGCTTCCCTCTCCGATGCTCTGTTTATATTTTGTTCCCGTTATCAAAATGTTGGCATGTTGCTGCCGGGGGGTATTTAAGATATTGTCGTAATATCGCCTTTGTTCTGATTAAATACATCAGTAAACCATCAAATAAACTCTCAAACATTATAAAAGAACGGCAGGTCTATCCACGGCCACGGCTTGCATCCCCTTTTCTCTGTAAAAATGCTGGACTGCGCTTTGATCTACTCAAACCAAGATTAAGAGCCCAAGTTGCATTATATTTCATGTGGTACCCGGTAGTACAGATATATTCTCAGATGGGTATGATTTTATTTAAAGTTCCGTTTCAGGGGTGTACAATCCTGCACGTGGTGCATAGTGTCACGTGGCGTATAATGTTTCAATACCACGTTTTACACTAGGCTCCACTGCCATGTGACCGCTGAGCTCCTACTCAAAGTCAACACTTAGTAGCCAAGTCAAAGGTGCGCCGCCCTGTACATATCTACATTGACACTATTGTAATGCTAATAGATTGCACAACCCCGAGAATACGAGCCTCATATCCAGGTTTACTGTCTATCTGAATGTCTTTATCATGCTGTGTTTACAGCATAGTAACATTCTTCTCAGTAGTCAGCAACATTCTTCTCAGTAGTCCGCGTATCCCCAGATACTGAGATACTACAACTAATACTACTTGTGAGATGCTGAATAAAGACACCTGCGAGCACAGAGCGTCCATTGTCAGTAATCCCTCCTTCTTGTGTCATTATACTTCACATACTCAGACCGAGAGAGAGTGTGGGAGAGAGAGAGAGAGAGAGAGAGAGAGCGAGCGCAATCCAAGCTTCCAGCTCACCAGTCTCTTGCTTCCCCCCTTCCCTTGTTAAATGGAGTGACATCTTCTTGCATTAATGTATGGGAGGCGGAGGCGGCTATGATGGCTAATGTATGAAGCTGGCATGATGGCTAATATCTGTTAATCACCATGCCCGCTAATGAGCCCATTCAGGGGTATTGAGTAGGAACTGCTCGTGAATCTCCCGTTCCATGATTCATGATCTGTTCCAGGCACGTGGAGACTGCCGCTCTAAATTCACATTTCCTCCACATACTTGCCTTCTTTCTCTATATACACGTACCTACTTTCTACCACCCTCCCTTAGTCCTCTCTTTTTCTTACAGTTCCCCTGGCCTCAAACCAGTGGTAATAGGGAATACCCAACCGATTATACTCACTTATCTCACTTTAAAATGTCCCTGATATTATGGTAATCTGATTTCTCTATCAGATAACACCTCCAGTATGTAGATTATTGAAACTAAAACTACTAAAGCAAAGGTGTCCAGAACACGCCCTCTAGCTCTCATAATAATGGTTTCAGGTTAAATTCAAATGTGTTCAGTTCCGCAGTATGTCTCCACTTAGTCACTTTCGTGGAAATCCAGCAGCATTTTGAGAAATAGGGTGTTTTAGACGACATTTGGCATTACAGAAATTTGTAGAACAGCAATAAACTGGGACTGAAAAGAATCAAGTACTCACGTAAATTTTGTAACTTCACAACAGCAATCCGCATTCTCCAATAAGAATTTACGACTTACTCAGGCCTCATCGTCTTAAGATTTTGACATTTCCGCAGCCACCCCCCGGAAAAATTTTGAGAAATAGGGTGTTTTAGAGTTAGGGGGCTTATTTTTTTTCTGGGGTTCATTTTTTTTCCGGGAGGCGCGGCCCCCTGGCTACGTGCCTGATAAGAGTGTATTTTTTTTCTTTTCAGCCTTTTCTTCAATTTCGTTAATAAATTGGCTGCTTAAATCTGAATTTCATGACTGATCATGACGCATATGTTCATATTTTGTCTATATTTTTGCCATGATTGGGTTGTTGATTCCAAGATCCCTAAATACATAACCAAATGTATCCAGATACGCCGGGCTAAAACTAGTTAAACTCAGAATTCTTTCCTTTACTCAATTATCATTACATTTTCTTGTGATAATCAAATCTCCGAATGTTGCATTATAATATTATTTGCAACAAGATATAATTATACGGTTCAGAGGTTCCAAAGCTCACGAGTTGGTGTAAGGTTGGTATGAAATAACCCAGAAAAGGATCTGATTTAACCCGGCATTATACAAATGACGAGTCGGGTATCTGGAACCAGTATCCGGTTTCAAATGGTTAATTTGCCAAGACTAGAGTGTTTCAGCTCTCTCTCTGTCTCTGTCTCTCTCTCTCTCTCTCTGTCTCTCTCTCTCTCTCTCTCTCTCTCTCTCTCTCTCTCTCTCTCTCTCTCTCTATCTCTCTCTCTCTCTCTCTCTCTCTCTCTCTCTCTCTCTCTCTCTCTCTCTCTCTCTCTCTCTCTCTCTCTCTCTCTCTCTCTCTCTCTCTCTCTCTCTCTCTCTCTCTCTCTCTCTCTCTCTCTCTCTCTCTCTCTCTCTCTCTCTCCTCTCTCTCTCGCATTATTGATGAACACGTGGAATTCAGACTCACCCTCATTAAACGTGTGGAGGGTGAAGCACGTTTCCCTTCCCGGCCCACTTTAAATGTAATGTGTGTGGTATTACAATATGTGTTCCCTGACTGTAATAGTGTAGTGTACGACCTCGTCTCCCATGAGGCCCCCCCCCCCCCCCCCCCCCCATTCCCCATCCTCGTGGCACCCCCTGGTACCCTGGAACTGGTCCAGGAACTGGAACAACTCATGACGTACTCTGACGGGGAGAGCTTTAAGCCAGCAAGGAAGGTGGCAGACTTCCTTGCAATGGTGTTCGGTGTCAAAGCCCAACGATATATGCCACCTTGTCGGTAGTTATATCGCGTGACGACTATGCTGGCATCTGATTGGTCGGTTCTAATCTAAGAGTCCGCTGACTGGTCAATACAGTGGATCACAGGAAGGCGTGATGGAATAATAATATGTTCTACACCTGTTACCATGGTAACCATCTGCCCCTGCTTCACGTGTACCTGCATTATATTTTGTTACCCTCCTTTTTTCTTAAGTTTATTCATCTTCCAGAGCTATTATTCGTAATAATGGTTCCTTTGTCATCGCTCACCTACCACTCCCTTAATTCAAGGCATTATTTTGTTGACCATCTGTCGCTATCTTTTGTTTTATCATTCGGACTGGTTCAGAATTTCTGAATTAATTTCATAAGCTTTCTTTGTTACCGGCTCTATTCCACTCTTCGCAGCTGTTGGATACTTTCAAATCTTATTACTGCCCAGGCTAAATCAATTTACATTTTGATTTGACAACTTAACCATGTTAATTGTTAACGCATCGCGAACTTAGTTCATACTTTATTTTAATTTGTTCTTACTTCTATTAAAGATAGCCGACATAAGATGAGACCTACCTACTACCAACAATGTTAGTGAACTTTACAATTCTATCAATATTCTGTATTTTAGTGTGCATGCATTTTACGGAACACACGTATTATTCTGCCAGCACAATAACTTTTGCTTTCATATCACGTGACTGCAGAGTGCTTGAAACAGTGCTTGGTAACGGTCCTATATCTGAATAAAACATCTCAATAGTATTATATATGTTTATATATGTGAGCCAGAGCCAATCAGAGAGTTGTCAAGCTGAGTGATGCTCTGCTTGTCCAATCAAATAACATGCTCTGATTGTTTCTCTCCGTGTATTACAAAGGATCATGATATTTTGATCATTTCAAGAGATAAATGTACTGGTGCAGGACTGTGATGTGTACATAATAGCTTCATACCTCGGTGCTATTTCAGGCGGGTGTGGTAAAGTTCTTTTCTTTCTAGGAAGATCCATTTTAATTAGCAGCTTTGGTATTACCTTATTTATTCGAACTTTCAGAGCGGTTTCGAATTTTAATTTTAATGATCATTTTGATTTTATACCGTAAATGTATGCTACTGCTGAATAAGCTGTACCCTGATCGATATTTTAGTAAAATAGAGCTAACATTTATTAAATAAATTAGTGTAGCCACGTTGTTATGTGAATATCATAATTAAACAGATATCTAGCTTTATAGATCTAAAATCAAGTAAAAATTTTAAATTCCAGTCCTGAAAATGGAATGAATCATGACTTTGGAAT